TAAATTGATTAAATCAGCATTTGCTGTGCAGTGTCCTGGTGTGGATATGTCTGTAATAAAGCAATCTTCCAACATCTACCGCTCTTTCAAGTCTTTGAATATAGATGGGCCATGATATTGTGTGTATTTTAAAATGCGTTGTTGCATCTACTTTAAGACGGGAATCTATTCTTCCTTTTAAATAGCATGCATATTAAAGTAGAGTCACCCGAAAGCTAAATTAATTGTGTAACATGTGTTCTTATCAGAACATGAGTATTCTATCACAGGACTAAGTAATGCATCGCCGATATCAATATGTGGTTGTGTTTTGTTGTTTCAAACCAGGTGTTGTTTATCAGAATTCTCTGTACCTTTTTCCTCAAAGGACTCAATATTCATTTGTAACTTGTGCTGACGGCTACAAATTGCTGGCCAGCGGTTATCAAATGAATGTTGATAGAAGGCAGATATTTAACGTGTTCATCCCAACAAAGGATTTTGGAAGGCCAGGTCCTTTGAATCTCAGGGTCTCAACTATCAACAGCCACCCATCAGCATCCCAGCTTTCTGAGGTGGAAGACGGGATTGCAAATGTCGAAGATGGAAAACGATGAACTTCTATTACCAAGATGTTCTCAGCTTAAGCTACAAACAAAAACCCTGGGTGACTTTACATACATAGTAATGGCTGAGGTCGCAGTTGAACTCTGGCCACTCACAAATGTTTGAGTAGAACCCAGATGGCATAAAAGTATTGTTAGAAATTCTACTGGGCTTGCCAGTAGTAATGGATCGTCAACACATTAGCCCAATGGCATCCATGTGGCCGGAGGTGTTACTTCCCCAGCTTCTTGTGATGAGTGACGTCTACTCAACCTGACAAATTGTTCTGAAGGAAACAAACAAACAAGAACCATCTGGGAGAGAGCCACAGTTCCAGCCAGTAATCTGATGTCAAGGGGTTATTATTTTATCACCATGGACTAGTAAAGCAATGTTGACAAATGGCAAGTCATACCTTCAAATATTCCACCAGTGCTAACCTTGTTTTCTTTATATGCCTTTTTCATCTCGTCTGACTTAGGTACTGATGCCCCCAAAGTGGCACGAAAATCATTTTTGATGGTGATTAAAGTGCTCAAAAATAAAAACAAAAAAAAACCCTCTTTCTTACCAGTTTGAAAGTGTTTCGTCTCCTCCCAGCGGTACACGCTTGTTTACTAATGAGCTCTCACTAACGCGGCTGCATCTCGGGCTGATGGGATGCAGACTGAGAAGCTGATGAGCCCAAAGTGGGAACTTGTTTTTTAGGCTGTCGCCACATCGTATGGTATAAAGATATCACTCAAGAGTTGCCACTGGAAGAGCTGAAAAGAAAGTTCTCCAAAAAGCCCATGAGGCAGTGGGAATGGAACCAACAAGATATTGTCAACACTTAATTGTCTGTCCTGAAGAGAAGATAAAGCAAGAGCCTGTGGCAGCACGCGTGGCTCAGGCTGGGAGGCTTTGCCAAAAAGACACAGTCAGTCTTTGGGGTAGCAAAGGTGGCCTTTGTACCCTGTTTTGTGTTCTTTTATGAAGCTGGGGGCACTGGCAGTAGAATTTGTGTTGTAAACTACCCTAAGGCCAATGGCAAGGAATTGATGTGAGCATGTGTGGATCACTGGGCTTTTAAAGCTGCGTGCCTCTCAGCACAGCCACCAAAGGCACACTTCCGTGAAAGCAGCCAAGCTGCCATCATTTGAGTTTCCATTGATGGAAGACACACCTCCTCTCGCAGTGAGCCTGACTCTAGATTGGGGTGACTTTAGAATTCCTTCACCATGTCAGCAATGCAAGCACGCAGCCACATGACGCTAGGAGAACACTGTGGCAGTTTGCTACATTAGGTTCCGAAGAACGCTGATGGCCAGTTTCCTGGGTGGCTTCCCTGGGTCCTATCTCAGGATCGGACAGTCTGTTGTGAGATTAGAAGCACTGTCTGATAGGGGGAATCAGCTAGGGCTCGGGGAAGAGGAGAAGGGGAGGATTTGGAGGTGAAGGGACTAGATTCTCTCAGTCACCACTTAGAAGTCTATGGCAAGTCACCTGATCATTCTTGGCTGGAGAATCCAAGAGAAATGGCCCAAGGTTTATCCAAAGCTCTGTCTCCACCTGGACTTGGCAGAGAGCAGAGGGCAAGTTGCTGTTTGGCTTGAGTTAGCTGAGGGGTCGTCCTTGTGTTCTGCTTATCCATCAGAGGCACTTTGGCTGCCCTCTTCCTCCTTAAAGGATGTGGAGGAATCCCACAACCCCCTGGCAGGGGTTTAGATAAACACACCTGGTGCTCAGCCAAAGGTGAAGACTAGTAGCAAGTCAGTAAAAGGAGAGCAACTGAGAAAGAGATCTCTGAATCCAAAGTAATCACTGTGCGGGAGGGGGGCGCTGGGGGAGCATGTTGAGGGACTTCTGGAAGTCACTAACCGTTTGCTATTCAATTAAGCTCCAGTCACAGGCCAGATGTTCAAATCCTGGACGGGTGGAACCCGGCCAGGGGGCTCAAGCAGCCAGATATGATCAAATATCAAATCTGTTCCACACACTCCTCTCTGCCTCTCCCACGGTCAAGCCACATGGCTACATTTGACCAATGCATATATGGCCACCGACCCTGACCCAGAAACCAGTCCCAAATAAAACCCAAATGGAATTTTGCTGAAATTACAGTCCCTCAGGACTCTGGCTCCGATGATTCTAGTCATTTATGGGGATGTTTGTCCACGGACACTCTGATCTAACACAATTTCAACCCTGTAGGGGCAGGAAAAAATGGTTACGTTTGCATGGGGACAGAAAGCCATCTCTCTTACCAGCAAACCTCCCTAATGTTTTCCCTAAAGTGTGACATCTGTGGCAAGCGTCCGGTCCTTGTTGGTAACTGCTCCCCATCAGCTGATAGCGAGTTGATGCATCAAGAGCTGTTCTCCACATAAATGATCACAGGACGGCAGATAAACGGTACTGCTTTTAAATTAGAGCCCTGCTCACCATGCCTCCTTCCGAACAGAAGCCTATTACTTTTAATTATGGCTTGCAAAGCAAAGTGAGCTCTTGCCCTCTTTATGGCATCTCTGGCAATATTCTGTCAGTTGGGATGACATGGTGCCCCATCAGTGAGCACGCCCCTAGCTACAGCCCCAACTGTGACTCCAGAGGAGACCAGAAAAATGATCGCTGGTGTTCACAGAAACTTGAATTTGAAATGGGCTGAAAGAAACGTGCCTCCCACCTTAGGTCATATCTTGTTATAAATCAGAATGGATATGACATTTAGAAAAGTGTTTTCTGGGTGAATAAACACATCACTGTAGGGATGTGTGAGACTGTGTGTGTGTGTATTAAACATTGCAACAGTGTTATAAACCCACCCTACCCTTTAAGAGCATCCTGGGCAAAGAATACAGGGCAATCTATCACCAACCTAACTTGAGACACCCACTTGATGGGGCATCATCAAATGTGGTTGGTTGCTTTTGGGAAGAAGGTTCTAGAAAATTCTCGGTGTCAAATTACATTGCGCACGAAGAAGTCAAAGGGTTGTATGGATCTGTTCTTGCCTGTTGGGAAGGACAGCATCTTTTTCTCTGTGCTGAAATGGCATCTGGCATGAGAGAGTGAAATGTGTCTTTATTTACCACGCCTTTTCCTCTACGATTTGTGAGAAGTCACACTAGCTTTATAAGCAGAGTTTACGGACTTGTTTGTCCAAGGTTATTGCACACCATACTTTGCAGTCCTGTGCTTAGAGTTGAGCCCTTTGCCACGCTGATTTCCAAGTGGAGAACGGCTCGCTACTCTCTAGAGAGCCAGAATGGCTCATATCATATCCTAACATTGATTTTAAAAACAAGTGTTTCTCTTTTTTGTCTTTCAGCAACAGGGAGCTGCTACCACTGTCTACTGTGCAGTCGCGCCTGAGCTGGAAGGCCTCGGAGGGATGTATTTCAACAACTGCTGCCGTTGCCTGCCGTCTGAAGAGGCTCAGAGCGAAGAGACAGCCCGGGCCCTGTGGGAACTCAGTGAGAGGCTCATCCAGGACCGACTGGGCAGTCCATCCAGCTAAGCTAAACAGAGCCCCATAATTTTGGGCAACTTCCCCACCCCTGCTCTGCCCCTCATAACTGCCAGCCCATCATCTATGGGTGCCCCTCCCCCTCCAATGCAGACCCCTGAGAGCAAAAGAAGTAAGAACAGCTATAACCAATGGGAAAGGTTGAGTGTCAGTGGGAAGCAGGGCCTTTCAAGGGATAACGTCCCTTTGGTAGGTCAGGGTTAGTCATGGATCTGCTTGCTTTTCTGGTGGTGGCCTCCTTGAAACCGGAAGCATGGTTAACATGTAGGTTCCTTTGCTCATTGTAGAAACACAGTGATTCTCTGCTACCTTTGGAATAACCTAATGTCCCCTTGACCCACCCAAGCACCCCCCCCCCCCCCCCCGAGCCACCACTGCCACACAAGGCTGGCTTTCCCCTATTGAGGGAAGAAAAAGAACATGTTCACCTCTCCATGCTGAGCTCAGTCCTGGAGGCCAACGTTTCATACTTCCCTACCAAGTCTGACCAGGCTTGGCAACTTTGAGAGAAACTCAAAACTATGTCCCAACAGAACCAATGTGCTGGTGCCATCAGAGGGGAGCCGGTGTGCTGAGCTGGTGGGTCTCAAGAGCACCTTTTGCTGTCTTCCTTGCCAAAGCTATGCAAGCATTTTTTTTTTTTAGTGATTATAACAAATACATTTTTGCAAATCATTCCCTAGATACGCAGGTGGACAAGGAAGGAAGCAAGGTTTCCTTAAGACACAGGGGATATTCTTGAGGTGGGAAATAGGAAGAAGTTCCCTCATTCCTTTACTCACAGTTCCAAGGACACCCTGAGGGTGTGTCAGGGCCTCCCAGTCCTCTTGAATCAGTGGCTAGCTTCAGCTTCCCTTGGTTCCTCCCATCCTATGCTTAATAAAAGAACATGCTTGACTATGATCACCTGAAGTGTGGATCGTTTGTTTGAATGTTCATCTCAGTCCTTTTTGTTCTGTTTTGTTTTTTGTTTGTTTTCTTTTTTTTTTTTTTTAGAAAAGAAATCTAGAGGAAAAATAAAGCGCTTCTTGTGGACGCCGGGAAAAACACCATTCTTGGTTCTTCTCTGAGTGTGGGTTTAGTTTTTGTGCTTTGTGGGCCGAGTTGTCTCATGGGATAAGCATGCCAGCATCGTATTTTCTGTGAGAGAAAGAGAGAGAAGAAAAGTGAGTATCGTGTGATTTTACTGTCGTTACATTAACAACCAATACTTAGAGATTGTTATCTCTGTTTTCAAGGGATGGTTCCTGAGACACTTGAGAACACTCACCCTCTCCACTAACGTCACAGTCTCCCAAAAAGGGAAGAACATGGAGACGACTTTTCAGTTAGTTAATAAGCTCCTGAGTCCTATGGTTTATTAACCCGTATGAGAATCCTGAAACTCAAAAGTTTATGGTCACTAAGATGCAGAAGAGTCCCAGTGACATGATAAAGAGACTCTGGCATTAAAGATGAAGAAGCTGAGGGTGGCTATGTACATATTTCACTGTTCCTCTTCCTGGAATGACAGCTTCAAGCCAGCCATTAGCACAGGTTTCTGGGCCCCTGCCTCCAGGTGGGTCGAGTCAAATACCATTGCTTTTCAGGTACAGCCTGGCTACAGCCTTTTATGCCAGCTAAGATGTCCCAAAGCAAAGGAAACTCCACACTTAACTCATAGAACTACAACGAATAATATATGAGTCTGTGATTTTAAGCTACCAAATCTCAGGATTATTTGTTACACAGCAAGAGCTAGCTGACAGTTTTCATTTTGTGGAGTGATAAGCATTTCCCCCGTTTGTTCTCTTTTAGCTTGAACCTCAGCTGCCTTGCCCATCCCATATTCTAGCATTTTCTCTCTTTCCTGTAGAGCACCATCTGGACAGTGTCCCTCACACTTGCCAAACACACCCTCAGGTCAGGTGCTTTCTGTCTGCAGCTCCCTCTGTGGAAATGCTTTCCTCACATAAAGGTTTGTTTCTCAGTGACTTCTGGTCTCTGCTCAAATGTCACCTGTTTCAGATAAGGTAGCATGTCTGTCCATGTCATTCATGGTATCATCCCAATGACCCTCCCTTTACCCTTAATGCTTCTCTTTTTAAATACTAGATAGCACTGGACACATCGTGAGTTACTCTTTTGCTACCCCCATAGTAGAAGCTCCATGAAAGTTGTAATATCTGTTCAGTCAGATAAGGGTCTCCTTTGGTTGTTTGGTCAAGGGATGAAATTTAAATTCAGAGAGCAGCTTCTCTATAGCCTATGCTCAATGAGTAGCAGCGTCAGGTCTGGAAGGCAACCCTTTCTACCTTCAAGCCCGTGTGCCTTCCACGACACACCCCTCTTCGGGGGCTTGCTGGTGACCAGCAGTGTGTACACACTGACTTCATGCAAGGGGTGAGCTCCTGACAAAGGGAAAACCAGCTTTCTACCTAGGACGGGGATGTGGCTGTCCTGCTGAGACCAGTGCCTGCTATATGCTTTACAAATGGCTTTCAAACCTTCAACTGACCCAGCAATACGGGCTTCTGTTCTACCCAGATAATTTCCTTCTCCTCACTCTTTTCCAGCTATAAAAAGTCCAGACCCAGCCTGGGCTTAGCTGTGGGTGGACGTCATGTCCCGCATTCTAATGGAAGCCATATAGATTACACCCAACTTAAAAAGAACGAGCCAACTTCTCCGTGGTCATTTTCTGCTGAGTTCCAGTCTGTCCCTGTTTCTTTAAGTCCGAAGGTGTCTGGCTCCACTTCCAGGCCTGAATAAGACCTTGTGCCACTTAGCAATAAGAAAGAACTGAAGCAATGGTCCTGCGGCTTGCGGCTTTGCTCTTTTAGAATGAAGAGGTGGACAGTTTTGTTTTGAACCTCAATGAAGGAAGAGGCCTGATTGCTTTCATCAAGGTCAACGCTCGGCCAGAAAGCCTCAGATTGCAAAGTTCTTGCCAGATCTTACCACTAATACTCATCGCTTTCGTAAGTGCTTGTTGAAAAGAGACAAAAACCGGAAACCTAGAAGAGCACTACCTACGTGCCCTATACCGTGACTCTCTGCGTCCCGACATAGCCCACTTAGATGCTGAAATCACTTCAGAATACTGAGTAAGGTCATTAAATATGATCCCTGTGATCATTGAAGAAGTTGAACTGAATTGCTGAACACGAGAAGCGAAGCACCAACAGAGATAAGTCTTTAGAGAAAAGAAGCCGAGTAATATTGCTAAATTTAAATACAGATTAGGTCGTCTTTCCGTATTACCTCTCAAGTCTTTGCTTTTGGCTCAAGCATTTGATTTGTGTACCCTTGCTCTAATTCCTTCCCCCACAAAAATCATCTTGTTTTTCAAATATTTCCCTGACTTTACTAGATGCCTATCATCATTATAGACCCATGTTTCTACTATGGGACTTTAGGTAACTTCTAGTTTATATTGTTAGAACCAGCGTTTCAGTTAGCATCTCTAAATATCTAGACTTTTCCTTTTAAGAATTCATTTCTCCATGAGGCAATGATGACACATGCCTTTACTCACAGCACTTGGGAGGCAGAGGCAGGCAGATCTCCGTGAGTTCGAAGCCAGCCTGGTCTACAGAGTGAGTTCCAGGACAGCCGAGGGTAAACAGAGAAACCCTGTCTCAAAAACGAAAGGCCTGGTGTTGGTTTTCAGGGATCCCAGAAACTCTTACAGGATTCGTGTGTTTCAGGGATGTTGTGCTGCCCAGAGGCGTGTGTGTGTGTGCTTACAACCCTGTCAATGCTAAGTGTACTATTTACTGTTTCAAACTTATTCCAACATCATCTTGTCACAAGCGATGTCTACTTATGCATAAGATTCCTTAGGAGCCTAAGCCTCGCTCCTTCATTCTCCCGCTGGGGAGAGTTCACAATTTTTTTTTGTTGTTGTTTTTGTTTTTCGAGACAGGGTTTCTCTGTGGCTTTGGAGCCTGTCCTGGAACTAGCTCTGTAGACCAGGCTAGTCTCGAACTCACAAAGATCCGCCTGCCTTTGCCTCCCGAGTGCTGGGATTAAAGGCGTACGCCACCATCGCCCGGCTGAGAGTTCACAATTTTAATTAGCATGGAAATTCAGAGTGTGAGCAGAGAGAGAGAGGGGTGGATGGGAGAAGAGCAGTCTAGTCGAGGTGTCTAATCTTTACCACAGTGTTCAATCGAAGAGCATCCTGTTTCCTTTCCTTTCCAATCGCCACTGCAGCAGGACACTGACCTCATCTGAATCTGGTACCCAGGCCAAAACAAACGCTCCAAATGTCTTTGGTTAGCTCTCAGTGGCTCCTGTGCTAACAACACTAGCTGGGAGTTCCCAGAAATCCACATCTTGGTAGCTGACACACTTTCTACATCTATTAAATGTTATTTATGCTATATCAATCATAGAGGTGGTCTATTTTCTCACTGTTGCATTTCCCTGGCCATCTCCCACTGCATCTTATAGGGAGGGAGCGAAGCTACTCTGAGTGGCTGACATAGGCATATGCAAATAGTGACCCCATCACTCACCTGAACATTCTCTTGTCCCTCCTCCATCACCCCTCTCTTGCTTTATTTTCTGTTTCTAGGCATCTATAAAACTTTAAAAAAGATTTCATAAGACTTTACTCAAAGCCGGGCAGTGATGGCTCACACCTTTAATCCCAGCACTTGGAATGCAGAGGCAGACGGATCTCTGTGAGTTCGAGGCCAGCCTAGTCTACAAAGTAAGTTTCAGGACAGCCAAGACTGTCACACAGAGAAACCCTGTCCAGAAGAACAAAATCAAACAAACAAACAAACAAAAAAAGACTTTACCCTAGGGATACCAAGGAGGCTGCAAGTTTCAAACAATATAGAGTATTTTCTGATTCTCAGTAATTACATATGAGAGACTTGTCTCGAAATGCCCTCATGGCTGGTCTTTACCTCTACTGTGTGCTGAGGGAGGGTGGAGGGGAGGGGGAATCGCAAGCGTTTTTCACTCAGGCTCTTGATTGGTTTATTTTCCTCAGTTGAACAAGTTCCTGAGTGTGCAGTGCCCCTTCCACCTGGAACCCAGGCAGAGAAGCCCGGGAACTCTGTATCAGCGAAATAAAAATGACTGAATGCAGAAAACAGGCGCCAGCTGAAGTTTGGGTGAGCGGGACCCGCCGGCCTCTGCCTGGGGCTCTACAGACTTTCCTGGCAGCTCCAGGACATGGTTGGGAGTCTGCCTGGTGTGCTGAGACAGCCCCCTGCCCCCCACCCTGACCGGCTTTAGACTCAGTTCTGAGGACTTGTACCTGGGCTGGCCTAGATTCCGGGGCCCATGCGCTGAAGTGATTGGCCTTTTGCTACTTTTCACGGCAGTCTTCAGATTCTTTACCTGGAGGGAGGCTAGACAGAGCTTCCCCAGGTAAGCACCTAAACTGTTCAGATGTCTCGCCCTGCTTGTCGTCAAGAAGTCTCTAGCACAGAAGCATCTGTAGAGGAAAGCAGGCTTACATTCACCAGCAGAGCAAGAAGTGTTGTTTAGAATAAAGTAGTCAGTAAAATCACAGTAATCACTATGGAGAGTGCGGGAAATGGTGAGTCTGTACAATGCCCGGTGTGCACCCGAGTTGGGGCCCCAGCATGCCTGTTTTTAAAAGCCAGGCATTTGCTTGCAGTCTGGTGCTGGGGAAGTGAAAGTGGGTAGACAGAGTCCTGGGTCTCCTGACCAGCCAGCTGAGCCAAGTTAAGTTGGTAAGCCCCAGGGCAATGAGAGATCTTATCCCAGAAAAGTAAGGTAGATTGTGATTGAGGAAGACACTGAGCATCGTCCTGTGGCCTCCACATTCCTACACACACGTATAAAAAAAAAATGTACACACAAAACAAATGAAAGCCCTGACCCAGAAACTCAGCTTCTGTGTATAAAAATGTAAAACAGAGCATTTCTAGAAGCCTGGGCAGTTGATAAGCATACGGTGTGTGTGTGGTGTGTGCGATCCAGATCACATTAATATTCTAGTGAATCAGACAAATTCTGTTACCTGAATTAAAAAACTGGGAGTGGCTAGATAGTGCAACAGGTGACGACGGCACTGTCACCTCACCTGATGACGTCATCCCATCCCTTACCCAGAACCACAGGTGGAAGGAGGGAACTGCAAACTGTCTTGTGACCTCCACACATGAGCCATG